AAAAAAAAAAAAAAATTATAGTTAAATGAATTTTTCATTAATTTATCTTTTAGTTGGGTAATGTAATTTCTTCCATTTTCAGGCCCCTTAGAAAAAGAGGCCCTAGGTCATTGCCTTGTTTGCTTGGCCCTAGGGCCGGCCCTAATGTGAAGCTAATAGATATATGGTATGACATGGTCGTTCAACAAAGCTCCTTGAAACATCAGCACATTTGTTTGTAAGGGTGATTAGTTAAATTTTTTTCTATGTTTTTTAAAAGAATCAATTGACAGAAGCATATTGATGGCATGCTTGGCTAAGCTTAGAAAACGTAAAATTTCCTCTCCAACATGTTAGGATAAATTAATTTTTTCTTACTTCTAAATTAAGAAAGTTAATTTTTTTAATTTTTTTTTAAAGTAACTAATTCCCTACTGTCAAAATAAGAAACTTATTTTAGACTATCAAAAAAGGAAATCATTATTTTAAAACTTGCTTATTTACTTACAAGTGAACTTTTTAATCTTAGCTGAACATGCTCTAACTCTCTTCTATCCTATAGGATAATGTTCACATCCCTCCAGGCGTAGCTTCCTCTCTTCCTACAAATTGCCTACGATTCCTTGTCTCATTCTAGGGCTTGACTTCCAATACCACAAGTCCAAGATCATTGACCAATTTATTGTCTCCAAAGATGTCTTAAAAGAGAAATGACTCCTCAAGTATGCATTTCTATTGCACGATTATTAGCAATAAACTGCTGGTGGTTCTGTATGATTGGCTGAAAACTTATTTTTATCTCATTTCAAGGTTTCTTTACAAGGAATAGTTAAAATGCTTCTCCTATGTCAAGTCACGGTTGTCTATTTATAATGGGTTTTTTGCTTGGGAAGTCTTTAGAATAGCTTAGAGAGTTGTATTGTAAGAAAGTGACATTTATCCATTTATTATGTAATCCTGCTACGAAATATCGATTTTCAGACGAAACCAGGAAGTAGGTGGGGAGGGAAATGAAGATGCTAGCCTTAGCTCAGAAGATCAATCATTGAGCCTTAATATGAATGTTTTTGGAAAGTGTTTGTGCCAGTGGTTTGCTTGTGTCTCAAAAAATATGTACCTTTATTGGCAGGTGGAGCATGTTAGGGCTGAGAGGAACTTATTGGCAGAAGTCGCCAGCCACTTCATAGTAAAGTTATACTACAGTTTTCAAGATGCTGAGTATTTGTATCTTATTATGGAGTATCTCCCTGGTGGTGACATGATGACTCTGCTTATGAGAGAAGACGTGCTGTCTGAAAGTGTGACTAAATTTTACATTGCTCAAAGTGTCCTGGCCATTGAATCCATTCACCAGCATAATTATATTCACAGGTGAGTCTGGAAATCTTTCTGCAGTTAACAAATTATTTTATGTTATACCGAAATCATAGGTGAATTAAGTCTTACTAAAGGTAGTTGTATTTGTTAAGTTATTTTCTTTATATTCTTCTCAGGGACATCAAACCTGACAACCTGATCTTTGATAAAAATGGTCACATGAAGCTCTCCGACTTTGGCCTTTGCAAGCCTCTTGATTGCCGAACTTTGTCTAGTGTGAATGAAAATGAGGCTATGGATGATGAGAATATAAGGGAACCAATGGATGTTGATGGTCGTTTTCCAGATGCTGCTCATGGTAGTAGCTGGAAAAGTCCTCACGAACAACTTCAACACTGGAAGATGAATAGGAGAAAGTTGGTAAGAAAGCATTAAACAAATTCAGAATCATTTTTCTCCCCTCCCCTCACCCAGGGGAAAAATCCCTGCTGCATCTAAGTCATGTTTGAAGGCATATGAGATAATGCTTTTAGTAAAAGGAAAACATAATAATAGGCAAATATGGAGTCAGTGCTTTTAAGATGTCTGTCCATATAATTACACCAAATATGAGGTCTTTTTTTATTATCTGGTTTCTGCTAATGTAATGGACTATATGATGGATGGCTGCCCATCCTCAATTTTTAGATCAAACTCACATGGACGAATATGCTTGTATGAAGGAAAGTCCACAATGATTACATAGATATTTAAACTTTCTTGGACGAAATTCTTAATAGCTATAAGCCGTACTCATTAAATTTTGAAATTTCCAGTTCTTATATGCAGCTTTCTGTCCTGTTCCTATAGTTAGATCAGATGCCATATATTGGCCATTGATATTTATGCCTACTGATATTTCTAATACATGATACTCCATGTTTACATGAGTAATCATCTTCT